TTTATGAGAAAAAAGGTGGAATTCCCTTTTACTAATAATAAACCTTTAATAATACACATTTTTAACATTTTAAGTAGCAAAACAGAGCACTGTTTAGCAATGAGAATAAAAAACTTGTCCTTGTCAAGGAATCCAATGTTATTTAATAAATGATTAACAGTACTGAACATTGTTAGCCTTGTAGAGTGCCAGAGCAAAAAGACAGTACTGTAATTTGATGAAAAAGTCATAAAATCGTCAAACAAATCATTGAAGTATTTGATGTGATAAGACACACTGACAGACAGCACTTACACAGCTACATGCCATTCTGTTGTATAGGCATATTGTATAACCAGATGTATCAAAGGTGTTTTAAAGGGCTTAAACATGTCTTAAAAAACTTTGATATAATTTGCAAACTTTATGAAAGTTTAAGAAAGTATTGCTCACTTCTGTGTCCATAGACCCCACATATACACCAATCAGGCATAACATTATGACCACCTCCTTGTTTCTACGCTCATTGTCCATTTTATCAGCTCCACTTACTATATAGGTGCACTTTGTAGTTCTACAATTACAGACCAGCACAACTCACACTAACACACCACCACCACATCAGTGTCACTGCAGTGCTGAGAATGATCCACCACCCAAATAGTACCTGCTCTGTGAGGGTCCATGGGGGTCCTGACCACTGAAGAACAGGGTAAAAGGGGGCTAACAAAGTATGCAGAGAAACAAACGGACTACAGTCTGTAATTGTAGAACTATAATGTGCACCTATATAGTAAGTGGAGCTGATAAAATGGACAATGAGCCTAGAAACAAGGTGGTCATAATGTTATGCCTTATCGGTGTATATCGAAATTAAGCTGCAAAAACAGGGTCATGAAAACCAACATATTTACACATAACTGCTTGTTTAGCCTACAGCAGTTTCATGTTGGAAGGTACAAAAACTGCTTTGGCCCAGACTGCTGTCTGAATAAGGCAAAACACATGGCAGCCAATCAAAACTGAGCTCATTTACATGATCGTCTTAAAGGCACATTTACAAAAACAATTTTATGGTACATGAGCTGGTACATATGTCATATGTTAACCTCAGGGAAAAATTAATACAAGACAAATGTATGATATGGACCCTTTAATACAGTAGGCTTACTTTATGTGAACGAACATGTGTAACTATGGCCATAGGTAAATTCATGCAAATGGCCAAAAGGCAAACATGCACCTATGCTAGATAGAGACATGGACAGACATATGAAAAAGTAGTTTTAACCCTTAAAAGTTGTTGTTACTGTCATTTTGCTGCACTATTTGAATATAACTGTGTAACTACATAATAACTACATAGTTACAAACTAAGCTGCGCCTGTATTCTCTATTCAACAGGGTCTTCTAACATTTTTCTAATGGTTGATGTCCAAAAATGACAAACATATGCTAAATACACAAGGAATGGGTTTTCTTTCCACAAAACAACATTGTACACAACAAAACTTTTCATCAAATTCAAATTTTTGCACTCAAATCCCACAGATGCAAACCTGCCGAGGGTAAAACTCAAGGGGTATGGGACTAATTCAGTATGGGACTAGTTCAGGACACTGAGGTGGGGGTCAACTACCAACAGACATATTGGGAAGGGCCTCAGAGTGGCCATCTGTACCGCCAGAGACTCTAAACATGACTGGCTACCAGAGGGATCAAGTCTCAAAGCACAGAGTGAAGTAGAGGTCTAAGTACAGCATCCCCAGCATCCCTTCATCTATATATCTGCCATTATTGGAATGGGACAAAGTGGAAACTGACCCTAGATCAGCAACTATTACTCTTACAGCACATTGTCCCCAGTAGAAAGCTTATAGAACAGGTCTTTCATGATCCTCTCTCTCGCTCTCTCTCTCTCTCTCTCTCTCTCTCTCTCTCTCTCCCTCTCTCTCTTTCTCTCTCTCTCTCTCACTCTCTGGTTTATAATGGGTTTTTAATGGCCATAGAGGTCTATGGAGACCAACAAAGACTCTTAGGAGCTCTGAGTCTAAAAAAGAGACTACAAAGCTAAAACAGCTGCCTAGAGTCCAGGAGAAATGGCATTGACCCTTAAATCCTTTGTCCTAGTTATCACATTCACATGTACTGTTGCTTAGAGTTACCATAATGTGTTCACTCATTCAATCTATCAGTGATACAAATAAATACTTGATTTTCAGTCAAAACAGCCATTTAGTGCAAACTATTCATTTTTCAGGTGATATTTCTGAAGAGATTAGATGACAATTACTTGCAACAGGAAGGAGAAAGTCAAAACTAGAGTTTCCAAAACTGAATTGGAAACAAAATTATTAAAAGCTAAAGAGAAAATGGGACTCCTAACAACCACCTGCAAGACCTGGTAGACCCCCAAAACCGTCCCCATCAGATAAACAGCATGTGAACCTTTCATCTTTGAGAGAGAGGAGAAAATCAAGCTGCTTCAGATCTGAAAACATCCACATGTGCTTCTGTCCATCCTTCCACTATGAGAGGACGACTCAGTGCTATGGGTCTTAAAGGACGTGTAGCTGATCAAGAAGAACCTCACTGAGAAAAGGAAGAACATTTATAAATCAAACAAAGAAGCTGCTGGTGTTCTCAGAACAATGGACTGACCACCCCAGAGTCCAGACCTCAACACCACTGAATGTGTTTGGATTACTTGGATGGTGAGAAGCAGAAAATGCAACCAACTTCTAAGACTGAACTTTGGAGGTTATGTTTTGACTGGAAATTAAATAAATATATATAAAGATAATAAATCTATTCACATAAACATATATACTTGTATGAGACTGACCAAAGTGTCTGCCTATGGCGAGAGCATTAGTACTCAATCATTATTTAATTATGTGTAGTTTTGTTTTAATTCAGCATCTATGTTAATATTAAAATAGTCAAATGTCTCTGAATTATGTGAAGTAAGAAAAATGTGTTAGTGTGACCAGTGATGTGTGTGCTGTAAGTATTAGATCTGTAAATCCTCAGAGTGCAGAAGATAGTAGCCAGTGTTATTTAAGCTAATGTAGACCTACTTAGCATTGTGCAAACTAGATGCCTGAACCAACACATTGCCTCAAACTGTGTTATGTAGTGATCTTACATAAACTTATGTGGCTTCTGGCACTGTATGACATACTGTTATCTACATACTGTTGATAAAATTCAGTAAGTTTTTATTGATTTTCATAGAAAACAGCATATCAGTGTCAGGAACCACATAATTAAGTGTATTAGTTATTACTTAAAGGAGAATTTCAGCAATTCTTTATCATTTCTGCATAATTAAATGGTTTAATGGCTCTACAAGCTACATTATAGATATTAATAGTTATTACATAAATATGCTTCCTGATGCCTGAGACATTGGTTTATAATTTTTTGACATATGATTACATTACATTTTGACATATGATTTAGGCATAAAACATGTAAAAAGAGGTACATGCAGGGTGTTTTAAGGCAAAATAGTCCCCAAAGAAAATTTATTTTTTCAGATTTGCCATAGTTTACCATTGTCAACATTATATCAGCATGTGTAGGTTCAAATCTCATTTTGAATAGTGAATAAAATGATTATATTTGTGTTAACCAATTGACATCAAACCACTCTGAATGACTTTGTTTACATCTCGAAGATTGAATTACACTGAATTTTTTTAAAAAATTGGTGGCATTCCTCTTTAACAAAATGCAGATTGAAGCATGTTTGATCATTTAGGTGTGTTATGATGCACTTGCACAATTCTAATAGATGCAATATTAGCTGCTATAATATATTTGCTACATTGGTGTCAGAGTTACAGTGCAAAACTAAAGAATCAAACTTAGATACTAAACATGTCTTGGCTGATCGACAACATTTACGTTAAGAGGAAAATGTTTCACCAAACTATCACTTTAAGCTAAGACTGGAACCGATCTAACAAACATCCTCTATTTGAGTCCCTCTCTCAGGACAAACACAATCTACTGTAGTCCTCTAGTAGAGCAGAAGGGATGATGGAGACGCTGTATCCCAGACAGGGTGAGTGCTGTTGGGAGGAGAGATTGTCAGGGATGGCCCTGGAGACTTGGAGCTTCAGCAGTGCTGATAGGGGTGAGTGACCCTCACCCTCTTTTCTTTCTCCCCTGCAATCGCTGGAAAGAAAATCCCTCCCACTCGTTCATCAGACTGAGGAAGACAGGGGTCAATCAAACTGACCCCAGTGCTCTCTCTCTCTCTCTCTCCCTTTCTCTATCTCTATCAGTAGAAAAGCACTAGAACAGAATGTACTCATGCCAACAGAAACACACACACGCTCAGTCTCTCCTGTATTTGCACACAATGAGTGGACAGGGAAGAACTTTGCATGCTCTCCAAAGGGGTCACATTCTATATTTTCTTGTATTTTCCCAAGGTTCCCTTGGGGTTCAACAAAATCAATTGATAATCAGTCCATCAATTAAGTAATTAATCAACCAATCCATAAATCTATAATCTGTCACCTTTATATCTTTACGCTGAAGCACCAAAAACTGTTAATGGTTGTGACATCACAACCATGATTAATTCAAAATGGGATGTTTTTTCCCTGGTATGGACAGTGTAAATTGAAACTATTATTGAATAATAATTACATAAGAAAAAAAACATTTTATTACCAATAAACATACAATATTTCATATTTCAGCCTCTCCATTTTCTACTGTACTTCAGTACACCTACAGTTGTAAACATGCACTGCACATCAATTGTCTCATGAAACTAATGTGTACATCATATAGTTATGAGAGTATGGAACAGAATTGTGGGAGTTTAAAGTGACTTTAATCCTTTACATGGCCACAATTCTTTAACCTAGGAATAGTTCAATTCATTGGCACTGAAGTCCCTGAAGTTACTGAATGATAAGCTTTGATGTGTAATAATCCTGGGATTTTAAAGGGTTAAGTTCTTAACTCCAGCATATATAATGCTTAAATACGACACTCACCTTCCACGCAGGATGGTTGGGCACGAGTTGTCCCGGCAACCTGTCCAGGGTAACAGGAGCACTTAACCGTCTGAGAGCGCTCCTCAATCTTATTTTTATTACAGCAGCGATGAATCGCTACAACCTCACACGTACCCTGCTTCACCTGATACGACCCTGAGAGAAGAGAAGAGAAGAGAAGAGAAGAGAAGAGAAGAGAAGACAGAACAGAAGAGATGACAAAAGAGGCGAAGAGAAGAGAAGAGAAGAGAAGAGAAGAGAAGAGAAGAGAAGAGAAGAGAAGAGAAAAGAAAAGAAGAGAAGAGAAAAAGAGAAGAGAGGAGAGAATGGGAAAAAATGAGAAGAGAAGAGAATCAAAGAGAAGAGAAGAGAAGAGAAGAGAGATATTAAAAGAAGTGAAGAGAATCAAAAAGGAGAAAAAAGAGAAAAGATGAGATGAAAAAAAGAAAAGGAGAAAAGCAGGGAGCAGAGGAGAAGAAAAAAGACATGAAGAGAATCAAAGAGAAGAGAAGAGAAGAGAGATATTAAAAGAAGTGAAGAGAATCAAAAAGGAGAAAAAAGAGAAAAGATGAGATAAAAAAAGAAAAGGAGAAAAGCAGGGAGCAGAGGAGAAGAAAAAAGACGTGAAGAGAATCAAAGAGAAGAGGAGATAAAAGAAAAGAAGAGAAAAGTCAATATTCAAGTCAATATTTGTTTAAAATAGCACCAAAATGTTAAAGTTCCCAAAGTAGTAACTCCACCAATAACTGTATTTCTCTGCTTCTATCAGTGTCCGACTGCCATCATAGTGTCTCCACTAAACTTTTGAGAAGGATTTGTTGGAAGTGTTGTACACTCAGCCATGTTTCAGTGATGTTTGTCCTGTGAGGCTTCTTAGAAAGCAGGCCCCATTAGAAACAGCATAAAAAATCCAGAAATACAGCCACAGAGACCGAGTTTCCCGAGTTTCCTGAGTGAACATGCCTAAACACTACTGCTTTAGCTCCTCTCCAAAGAAAAACTCCATCATTATCATCCAGAGAGAGAGCGAGAGAGGCCGAGAGAGAGAGCTGCCAGGCTTATGTAAAGAAATGGGTAAAAAAAGAAAAAGTAGTTAGGGTCTATGCTCAGTTTTCCACTCATAATAATCCACATGATGGCACTTAAGATGCCATCCATATTTGATGAGACTGGCAGTGTTTAACAAGCACCTCGAGGCCTGCCAGCACTCTCTCTCTCTCGTTCTCTCTCTCTATTTATGTCTTTCTCTCTCGCCCTCCATCTCCCTGGCACAGTATCATATAGGCCTACATAATGAATACGCCGCTGTGCTGTCCTGTTCAGGCGGTGTAAATAAGCGCGCTCGAGTGAAGGATTTCTCACAGCAGCATTAACCCCGCGCTGGACACCCGCCAAAATTCGTCTCTGAGAAATATGCGCCCATAGGAGAAGGTGTCGTTTCAAATTGCATCTCATCTACCTGGAATAAAGTGTTATGACTGTTTACAGTGTGATTTCACCTTAGTGCTACAGTAATAACAGATGTTATAGTGATAAATGCTTTAAAGCATGAGGAAAGGAAACTTCTTGTTTCTTATAGAGGGAATAAACATTAAACAAATCAAATACTTCTGAAAGGCAGACAAGATTAACCCTCAGAAGAAACTGGATTTAATTGACTGACATGCTTATATAATTTCCATGTGACTAAAACATATTACATATATAAATATAAATATATATATATATATATATATATATATATATATATATATATATATATATATATATATATATATATATCATGATATTGCCAAATCAGTTATTTCCAGCATAAAGTGAACTGAAAGATACAGAGCCCCGCTGGTGACATCCTGCATGAAAAAAACAATAATGCATGGCCACAACTTAGTAAGGCATGGAAACAAGATAACTAAGTCATGGCCACGACTTAGTAAGGCATGGAAACGAGATCCTAATTAATAGCCACAACTAGGTAAGGTATTATCTCATTCCCACGCCTTACTAAGTGGGGACCATGACTTAATTATCTCATTCCCTCACCTTTCTAAGTTATGGCCACCATTAGGTAAGGCGTGGGAACGAGATAATTAAGTCGTGGCCACCACTAGGTAAGGCGTGGGGATGAGATAATGCCTTACTAAGTTGTGGCCATGCATTAGGATCTTGTTCCCATGCCTTACCTAGTGGTGGCCATCACTTAATAATCTCATTCCCACACCTTACTAAGTCGTAGACACACATTATTTTTATTTATATGGGATGTCACCACTAAGGGCTCCACAGAAAGGCAAAAATGTGTTGAACTATTTTGTTCATGTAGAAATAACATTGGAATGATGTAAATATAATTCACCTCTTCTCGAAGGACCCCTAGTGGCCATCGACTTATTTGTAATTACTACAATGAAATAAATGATTTTTTTCCATACCTGTTGGCTCTCTGTGTGTGAAATGTTGTGAATCTGTGTTGAGCTGCTAGTGAGCAATGCATATAAAAAGGGAGGGTTGAGAACCCCCTGCTTTGAAAGTGATTGACACCTCTCCACAAAAACAGCTCTGCTGAGACAAAATGGAAACAATATCATATAAAACTGCTTCAATAACAATAGCATTTACATAAAATAAAAACACTTCAATAAATGCTGACTTGCCGGATCACCTATGAAGACACAAATCCAGTTCATTTCCGGTTCGCTTTGTGTTCTGAGACCTCCCCCTGACTGTGGTTGGTATTGAGACCTCCTCCTAAATGTGATTGGCCCTGAAACCTACCCCTGACTGTGATTGGTCTTAACGACTTCATCATTTGTTCGGAGACCTCCCCCTGACTGTGATTGGTCCTAATCACTTCATTGTTTGTTCTGAGAACTCCCCCTGACTGTGATTGGTCTTAATCACTACATCATTTGATCTGAGACCTCTCTCTGACTGTGATTGGTCCTAATGACCACATCATTTGTTTGGAGACTTCCCCCTGACTATGATTGGTCTTAATCACTGTGTCGTTTATTCTGAGACCTCCCCATGACTATGATATGTCCTAATCACACACTGTTTGTTCTGAAACCTCCCCTGGACTGTGATTGGTCCTGATGACTGTATCATTTGTTCTGAGAACACCCCCTGACAGTGATTGGTCCTAATCACTGCATCTCTTGTTTGGAGACCTCCCACTGACTGTGACTGGTCATAATGAACATCTGTTGTTCTGAGACCTCCCACTGACTGTGATTGGTCATAATGAATATCTGTTGTTCTGAGACCTCTCCCTGACTGTGATTGGTCCTAATCCCTGCATCATTTGTTCTGAGACCTCCCCCCCGACTGTGATTGGTCCTAATCACTGTGTTTATTCTGAGACCTCCCCCTGACTGCGACTGGTCCTGAGACCTCGCCCTGACTGTGATTGGTCCTGATGACTATATCATTTGTTTGGAGACCTCCCACTGACTGTGATTCGTCCTAATCCCTGCATCATTTGTTCAGAGACCTCCCCTAACTATGACTGGTCTTAATCATCACATCATTTATTCTGAGTCCTCCGCCTAATTGTGATTGGTTCTAATCACTGAATCATTCCTTCAGACAACTCCCTCTGACTGACTGGTCCTTTGCATAAAGCAGGCTGGCAGTGCTGAGATGTACACCAAGTTCTTTTTAAGTATACTTATGACAGCTTGTTCGGAAGTAGTTCGGTTTCAGAAAGCTCTTTCGTCACTTGAAGTATACGGAGTTTGAGAGAATGTGTTGTGCATAGGTCCTTGTTAGTGATCAGGGGGCAGGAGGCTTGAGGCTCAGGCAGAACACGGGGGGTGGACACCCTGTCTCACACAGAACAAAGACTGCACCGCCTCCTACTGGCATAATGGGGTCATCAGGCTAAAGAGGGACACCGAGGACAGACACACATATCTCTGGTCACAAAGTTCCCACATCTTTTCCAACCTACACAAAAACATCCCCGCTGCTGCTTCTAATAAGTTCAGTCACTTTTGTTTGCACTGTATGTGTGAGCAGGAATACAAACACAGCATGTGAAAACAAAAACAAATATACAGTCAGTTCCAGGAATAAACAACTCAGACAATGAGCAAACAGACAAACTCAGCTCCGTCCTCCTTGGCTGTCTTCCCGTCAGATTTGCTGCAGCTTTCTTGAGGTAATCCAGCATGATTGGGAGATTAGATTACAAATGACCGCCTTATTACAATAGCACAACCTGTTTGTAATTGTAACGAGTTGGGCTCTTCAGAAACCGGCCAAATTGGAGAAATTGGAGCATAAATTCAGCAACTCTGAGTAGCCTCTGTTTTCAGGGGCTACTTTCATTTACTAAAGTTACCCAACAGACCTCTAAATTGTGTTGTCATTCTGTGGTCAGCGTTATGCCCAGATTAGGAAATCCAGGTCTAAGGTGTTTTCTCTATTAGAAAAATGAACGCCGTTTCTGAACATTGCTGCTATTTGCTGCTATGGTATTGTATTTTAAACTGAGGTTGATAACACATAATAGCATAGAAAAATGTCATCAAAGTAATACAAAAATGTATGTTAGTTAGCTAGACAGCTACCATTGTTAAAAAATGGCAGTAAAACATGGTTTTAAACCTTTCTAAACATTTAAAGCACATTTAAAGCATAACCAGAGTATTTGAGTGCACTGACTTGATTTTATTTGATTTGTGGTTGTAGTGATGACAAAGCTATAATCTAAACAGCTGAGATTCCCCACTGCTTTATTATTTTCATGTTCCAATCTGCACACTAGCTCACAAAATAGTATGCAAAAATAGCACATATACTATTAGAAGTGCACTAATTAGTGTAGTAAGTGAAGTACAGAAGTGTGTGGTTTGGGATGCAGCATTAGATCAGCCAGTGAGACACGGCTGCTTATAGCTTCACTGTGCTGCATATTAACTGCTCAGTAACAGTTAAACATCTCCAAGCAGAAGTTTGAGGTATTTGTTGATTAAGGATCATTTATTAAGGTAAATTAATGTATTTATTGAGGTAAGCTGATGTTAGCGTCCTATTCACCAACTTTTGAAATTCGTTCTACATTTAAGGCAGCTCAGTGTAACTGCAGCACCATTTAAGGTGGAACAGAAAAGTCAAATGAGAAACTGGTGAATAAGAAGCTGACTTGAGCT